TGACTGGCTATGGTGGCCATCTTGAATTGAACTGACTCAAAGTCCAGGATGTTATCTGTGGAAAACATTCAGAGTTTCATTAAAATTCACCCAGTGGTTCATGAGGTACTTGGCTAACAGACAATTGACACCAATATTTACTGTCAAATAAATAAAGATCTTGTGCAATCATTTAGTGCATGTGTGATTAGTAAGAGTAAGTAATTGATAACCCTAAATTGTGCCTATAGGTGTGAGTGAGAGTGTGAACGGTTTTGTCTGTGTCCATGTGATGGACTTATCCAGGGTGTACCCCACCTCTTACAAAGTGACGGCCAGACATACAGATAAACACACACATGTGCTTACAAGTAGCTAAAAACATTAAGTAAAAAAGTTTGAAATGGAAAAGCATTTTTAAGCCTAATGTAAAACTGTAAATATTAACTTGCATCAGATCAACTATTGTTTAAATAAGTAATGCAATCAAAACTAGTCATTGCATTCCATGTGAAAATGCAGTGTGAATGTTTATTGCTAATTAACTTGATGAAAAACAGCTGAAATTAGCTGAAAATGATTTTTACGGAAACTTTTTTACTTTTGGACATTTGTTATGAAGCGTAACCATAACAAGGGGGTTTTCTACAACTGGGAGCTGCCGATTAACATCTCAAACAATACCTGCAGTTCCCAATCCCAAATGAGTTGAAGAGGAGGTGCCATGGATGCATTCCCATCTACTGCCGAGATCTTGGAGGTGGCGAGAAATGAGGCTCGTGACAGCGAGAGGACCGAGATCTTCCCCCAGCACCTACAGTTAAATCCGCAATGATGAGGCAACTGCTGGGAGAAATGGTCATCTCTCTGGGAGGAGTTCAGCCCAGCATTCAGGCAGTCCTGCTGCCCAAGAGGACCGAGAGGTCTGCCAAGTCTGGGTGGACATCTGCAGCCAGTCTCTTCAGCTCTGCTGTGGGATGGACCACTACAAGAGATCCTTCCTGCTCAAAGCCATCAGCATCTGTAACATCTCTTATTGAAACCAAGATGATGAGCTACCACAACAATTAATTTCCCTTTGGGATTAATTAAGTATTTTTGAATTAAATTGAATTAAAGCATGCTGAAATGTAGCTGAAAAGGAAGAATAAGTCTAAGTTAGCAGAAGATAGCAGAAACAACACATATTTGCTGAATTTGATTTAGATAAGAAGAAAAATAGGTAATTAGCTCTAAAAGTTGAAAATGGCAACAACAAGAAAAGACAGCTGAAAAGTAACTGAAAAGGTAGAAAGAAGCTTTAATAACCAGAAGGAAGTGCAGAGCACACAATTTTGCTTAATTAGACTGAAAGAGGCAGAAATGAGCACAAAAAAGTGGAAATTATCTGAAAAAGCTTAAATTAGCAAAAGACATCTGGAAAGTAGCTAAAATAGCAGAAATAAGATTAAATTAGCAGAAGGACATGGAGAGAGCACATTGTTGCTGAATTAGGCTAAAAAAAGCTTAAATTAGTGTAAAAACTGTGAGATTAGCAGAAAAAGCTAAATTAGCATAAAACAGCTAAATAGTAGCTGAAATAACTGAAACTGGCAATGAGCTGCAACAAGCAGAAATAAGTTAATTAGGTTGAAAGTAACTGAAATTACCACAAAAAAACTTTAATTTATCTGAAAACAGCTTAAATTAGCCAAAAACTGCTAACAAGATAGCTGAAAAGGTAGAACAAGCTTCATTTAGCAGAATGAACACATTTTCTCATTTAGGCTGAAAGAAGCAGAAATGAGCACAAAAAGTGGAAAATATCTGATGAAAGCTGAAATTAGCATAAAAAAATGCTGAAAAGTGGCTAGAAAGCAGCTTAAATTACCAGAAAGAAGTTGAGATCACATTTTTGCTGAATTAGGCTGAATTTTTTTTTTTTTTTGAGTGCAAAAAATAAAGAATTAGCTGAAAAAGCTAAAACAAACACAAAAACATGAAATAGTAAAAATATCAATATACAAAACTGAAAATTGCATAAATAGCAGAAAGGACCATATCACACTGAAATGAGCAGAAAGCAGTTAGAATAAGCACATAAATGTTGTAGGTGGCATAAAGAATCTAAAAGGAGCACAAAACAGAGGAAAAACAGCTGAAAGTAGCTGAAAGTAGCTAAAAAAAAGTTTAAATTTGCACAAGGAAGCTGAAAGAAGCTGAACCAGAACAAAATGTGAAAAGAGCAGTAAAACGTTGTAAACAGATCTAAAGATCTGAAGGATGTAAAATGAGCTCAGTTCATTTTCTGAGAAAAAAAAAGTGGCAGAAAGGCTAAATATTTCAAAAAGCTAATGTTGCACCAATACCAAAAGTCATAGCTCCCTTCTCCTGAATGAGCTGAACATTTATGATTTGTTGAAAGAGCACAAAAATCGTACGGAAGAAAAACAGATTACAATAGTGTGAATGCTTCATACGTGAGCACAACTAATACCTGGTGGCATATTCAGATCTTCAAGGGTTAAGAGGCAACTTTTTCTAATTTAAAATTTTCTCCTCGGGTTAAATAAGAAACTGAATGATCCTGAATTTGTGAAGTGGGTGGAAACCATCAGCCTGTTTGTTGGTCAACTGTGAATAAAGGATGAGAAGGAGGAGGCGTAATGGCGGCCTGCTGTAACTGACCATTATGCAATTATGGAGAGGGCACACACCAGCAGGCAGTAATTAAAAGAAGTTTCAGCTGCATTGTGGGATGTTGGTGCTGGAATAAAACAGCTGCGTGTGAAAAGAGAGAAAGCTTCAAAATGAGCCCATAATTAGTGAGTTTATCTCACAGCCCTGAGATTTTAGACCCTGATGTTTTAGGATTTCACCCTTTATGGTTTAAACTGAGTTCAGTGAATGTCACTGTAACAATAGAGGCTTTATATTTCTTTTAAAAGACAGAAGAGACAAACCATCAAAGTTTTCTAAAAATCTATTTTCATTTGTTTTGACAAACATGCAACAAAAGCTGTGGTTTGCATTAAAAACAGCTGAAGTAACACTGTAACTAATCTGCTGTTGTCCAAGTGAGAATGTGTCGGTGTTAAAACAAATACATTCGATGTTCACAACTATAGACAAACTATAAAAAAAAATTGGGTTTAAAGCATGAAAATACAGTTTCCAGGGTCAAAAAATGATTTGACAAGAAACACAAGGACAAGATAAAGAAAATGTTTTCTTAAAAATTACATATTTTTGTGTTAATTCTAAAAAAAATAAAAAAAAAAATACATAAGAGTTTGTAACTAACCGCAGCCTGGAGACATGCAACAAGACAGAACAGCTGATAAAAACAATACATTACAGGTTTTGGCTTCTTCCAAGAAAACATTTCAGTCGGTACAAAAAGAAACATAACGTATCATAAAGGCTCAAATTTTAACCCAAAACATTCGGCAGCTTTAAGACAAATGAGCAGAAAGAACTAATAGTTGAAAACTTGATTAATGAACGGCTGCGTGAAGTTGAAACTATCATCCAAAATCTTTCTGAGTTTGGTTTGAAATAAGAAATGTATGCAGCCGTTTGAAAAATAAGTTATGTCTGAACTACAGGAAATGGCATTTCCTGCAAAAATGCAGTGTGAATACTTATTGCTGAAGAACTTGCTGAAAAACAGCTGAAATTAGCTAAAAACAGCTGAAATTAGCTAAAAAAAATGCACAAATGAAGCTGAAATGGAAGAACAAGCCTAAGTTAGCAGAAAGAACATGTATTTGCTGAAACTGGTTTAAATAAGCAGAAATGAGCACAAAAAATTGATAAATTAGCTTAAAAAAAGGCTGAAATGAGCAAGAAATAGCTGAAAAGTAGCTGAAACGGCAGAAAGAAGCTTAAATTACCAGAAGAAAGTGGAGAGAGCACAATTGTGTCCAATTAGACTGAAAGTAGCAGAAATAAGTACAAAAAATGGAAAATATCTGAAAAAGCTCAAATAAGCCAAAAAAAAACAAAAAACAGCTGAATAGTAAAAAAAAAAAAAAAAAAAGGCAGAAAGAAGCTAAAATTACCAGAAGCAAGTGGAGAGAGCGAGGGCAGCACGGTGACGCAACTGGTAGAGCTGCTGCCTCTCAGCGAGCAGGTCCCTGGTTCAAATCCCGGTCCGGGGCCTTATCTGGGTGGAGTTTGCATGTTCTCTCCGTGCATGCGTGGGTTTTCTCCGGGTACTCCGGTTTCCTCCCACAGACCAAAAACATGCATGGATGGATATAATGGATGGATGGATGGAAGTAGAGAGAACACTATTTTGCTGAATTAAGCCAAAAAAACTTTAAATGAGTGCAAAAAAAAAAAGTGGAATTAGCTGAAAAAGCTCAAATTAGCATAAAAAAGCTAAATAGTAGCTGAAATAGCAGAAATTGTTAAAACTTGCAGAAATAAGCTGAAAGGAGCTTAAAAAGCTGAAATTAGCAGAAAGAAGTTAGAAGCACAAAAATGTAGTTAGCAGAATAAAGCAGAAAGGAGCACAAAACAGCTGAAAGAACAGCTGAAAGTAACTGTTTTCAATTTAAAAGCACAAGGAAGCTGAAAGAAGCTGAACCAGAACAAAATGTGAAAGGAGCAGTAAAAGGTTGTAAACGGATCTAAAGATTTGAAGGATGTAAAATGAGCTCAGTTCATTTCCTATGAGAAAAAAAGTGGCAAAAAAGGCTAAATAATTCAAAGAGCTAAAGTTGCACCAATACCAAAAGTCAAAGCGCCGTTCTCCTGAATGAGCTGAACGTTTTGATATGATTTATTGAAATAGCAAAATTGTGGAACGAGAACGCCGCCGAAAACGTCCGGAAGAAAAATGGATCACAATAGTGTGGATGCTTCGTAAGCGTTCACACAATAAGGCATGAGTCCTGGCTGCAATAAATAAAACGTTAACAGACTCTCCAAGAGTTAACTCTATAACTAGTCTCCCAAGAGAAAGCTCTTTGAATGAGAAATGTAAAGAAAAGACTGTTTTCCTTTATTAACCAGGTGTCAGTCAGCTGTCTGTCCCTCTTCATTCCACTACTTCTCATCCTGTTTCCTCTGTTTTTCCCACTGCACCTGCTATCACAGCTGTTTTCTCACTCCCTTCTTTCTGCGCAGGGTTCTGTTCCTCCTCCCGTCCTCACTTCTTGATCACAGCTCGTCTCGAGCGCTCCAGTTCTCCAGTTCAGACTGCAGCACGTCAGAGTTCTGGGCCTCGAAGCTCAGCTCTCCCTGCTCCTGCGTTTTCCTCGACCTGGCTCGATCCCAGTCGGTTTTGACCGTCTCGTTGTCCCAAACCACCGACGTCTCTGTGTCACTGACGTAGCCCGGGTCTCCCGTGTAATGGGTCGGAAACACCAGGAGCGGCTCGGCTGAAAAGGCGTGCAGGTCCCGGCGCTCGAAGTGATCCATGTACTTCGATCTGATGGGCGACAGGAAAGTCAGGATGCAATCAGAAGAACAAAACAATTACCGTAATTTCCGGACTATAAGCCGCTACTTTTTTCACAGGTTTTGAACCCTGCGGCTTATACAACGCTATGGCTAATTAATGGATTGTTTTTTTTTAAACGGGCTAACGAGCTTCACGCTGCCAAAACATTTAGCCTCGTCCCACTGGGCGCTCACATAGCTGCCCAATACACATCTCTCTTGGGGGGGTGGGTCCTCATGACTCAATTAGACTACCTGTATAAATAAAGGTTAAAAAAAAATCTGACCAATGAAATTACCAAACAGTGGACCAGTGAAACTTGGTTAGGTTTTCAAGTGCAGCCTATATACGTACAAAAACGTTATTATTTTTAAATGTAGTGGGCGTGGCGCTCAATAGTCTGGAAATTACGGTAATCGTTGACAGCAGCGTTGCACTCACATTGGGTGTTTGTTGTACATCACAGGGAGGAACTCGTCGACAGGAAGCATCTTCTTCAGAGGTTCGGCCCTGAGGAGCTTTTGGGCTCCTTGTAATGTCAACATGTAGCCAAGAGTCCAGTAGGAGTAATCTGCCACCACCAGATTGTGGATGTTTGGGAGAGACTTCTCTGAGTGGTCCACCTGCATCCTTTTACGTCCAATATAACTGAAGGAATGAGACAATTTACAAATAAATAAAAATAATAACTTTAACAACTCAAATCCTGCTAAATTAAGATTAAAAGATCAAGCAATATTTAGGTAGAAAGGCCATTTCAAGTCAATGATGTAAGAAGACATTTGTTTTTACAGTCTAATTATGTATCTACTGTATTTTTCAGACTATAAAGCACATTTTAAATCCTTTAATATTTTCAAAAATCAACAGTGAGCCTTATAATAAGGTGAGCCTTATATATTAATTCTGGTTGTGCTTATTGACCTCAAACCAATTGTATGTGGTTATTGTGAATGAGTTTAATAAAGTTTGACTTATCCGACTGTTTTGTTTCGCTTGATGCGCCTTATAATCTGGTGCACCTTACGTATGAAAACGTTGTTGTTCACTGATATTGCGCTTTACAATCTGGTGTGCTTTATAGTCCGAAAAATACGGTAATTAAATCCAAACATAAATAAATTAAAATAAAATAAAAAGAGTTTCGGTCTGGGTTAAACAGAATAAGAGTTTGGCTCTTTTCATGTGTAAATCCAGAGTTCTGAACAGTTCAGACGTTCAGGTTTGTAACAAAAATAAAAACTGAATCGAACCCCCGCAATAAACGAGGGACTAATGTATTATGAAGTTGTTAAAAGTAGGATTTGTCTCATCAGCTTTAAAAAAATAAGACAAGAATGTTCTCTCCTTGTTTGTACAGGAGACTCCAAACGTGAATTTTGTCATGTTTCCTAACATAGATGTGACCGTCCTCAAAAATAACAAGTGTCTAAAAGTTTATGTTGATTTTAAACGGTTCAAATACCTGTGAACTTATAAAATAAGAAAAGAAAGCCTCATGAAAGAGCCCGTCAAAAACAAAAGCAAATCACCGAACATTGTTCATCAAACATGTTCGCACATTAATAAGGACTTATTTGATATTTTGCAAGGCGTCTCAGGGCAGCGCTCACTGGCTGAACGTTAAGATGCAACATGCCCAACTATGTGACAAATGGATTGAAGCCACAGTAAAGACAATCCTCTTTGTTCAACAGTTTATGTTTCCTCTGTTCCAGAAGGTCCTACCCAAAGTGGAGGAGTTCAAGTATCTTGGGGTCTTGTTCAAGAATGAGGGAAAAATGGAGCGTGAGATCGAAAGGCGGATAGGTGCAGCGTCTGCAGTGAAGCGGGCGCTGTACAGGTCTGTCGTGGTGAAGAGAGAGCTGAGTCAAAAGGCGAAGCTCTCAATTTACCGATCGATCTACGTTCCCACCCTCATCTATGGTCACGAGCTTTGGGTTGTGACCGAAAGAATGAGATCTCGGATACAAGCGGCCGAAATTAGTTTTCTCCGCAGGGTGTCTGGGCTCTCCCTTAGAGACAGGGTGAGAAGCTCGATCATCCGGGAGGGACTCAGAGTAGAGCCGCTGCTTCTCCACGTCGAGAGGAGCCAGTTGAGGTGGCTCGGGCATCTGGTTAGGATGCCTCCTGGACGTCTCCCTGGTGAGGTGTTCCGGACACGTCCCACCGGAAGGAGGCCCAGAGGAAGACCCAGGACACGCTGGAGGGACTATGTTTCTCGGCTGGCCTGGGAACGCCTCGGGATTCCCCCGGAAGAGCTGGCCAAAGTGGCTGGGGAGAGGGAAGTCTGGGCCTCCCTACTTAGGCTGCTACCCCCATGACCCGACCCCGGATAAGCGGAAGAAAATGGATGGATGGATGGATGTTCCAGAAGTTTCACTCACATGAGATCCCAGTCCAACTTTTGTGTCGTCACCTCCTGCAGCAGAGCCTGAAGACGGCGTTTGAAGAAGACCTCAAAACGAAGGTCATCCTCGAGGACCAGGGACGTCTGCAGACCACGCTCCACTATCTAAACACACAACATGCAGGCGGATTTACAAAGCACTGCAAAGATGCTGGTAATCTGGATTATACTGGATAATCTAAAATGAAGCAATTAATGTAATACCACTATCAGCAGCAATTAAACAACTTTAGCTCAATAAAATAACTTTTTTTAACATGGCTGGTATCAAGCTAACAGTAGCCACTCTGCAGATGTACCCCACTTTGTTCTGTTTGTAAACAATCCAGTTAACAACTCATGAGTCAACAAGTTTCAGTAAAGTCATTTAACATTCTTACACTGCATTTTCACAGGAAATACAATTTATTGTTGCACTATGTATTTTGGACACGTTAAACACAACAGATTTATTTCTTAACTAACTTTTTTTTCTTACTCTAGTGCACTTCAACTAAAGACAGCGTTGGTAATCTGCTCCTAAAGATAACCTGATGGCTCAGAGGTTAAACTACCGTACACAAAAAATAATCTACTGAAATGATTTTAGCATCCGAGTCCCTGTGCTGTCATTTATTTGGATGCCTTATATGTTAAACAAATAGAAAGAGTAAAAAAATAAATTCTGATTAGCTGAACCTATAAACAAGAATGCACAGAAAGGATTCCATGCACTGAAACTCGTGTTTCTTTGTCAAAGCAAACCATTTTGGAACTGATTTACTGTTTTAATAATCGTCAGGCTCGTGCAGGCGGACCGTGATAGTTGAGTGTCTCACCTCCTTCCAGATGTTGTAATGAGAGAGGAAACAACCCAGTTCACCCTTAGTGAGAGGTCGTCCGTGATAAGGGTCTTTGTAGCCTGGTAGCATCTTAATCCCCATAGACTCTATATCAGACAGATTCAAAGCTCTGGAAGCAAAAAATAAAAATAAAAATAAAAAAATGGGATGATGAGATTAAAGTAGAATCAATAAAATATTTGGATGTTAAATTCTAACCTGCCCAAAACAAGTCAGATTTAAATGGACTTTCTTTGAATTTGATTAAAACTTACATTTGTTTGGGTAATGTTTTTTAATAATAATAATAATAATAATAATAATAATAATAATAATAATCATTTTATTTAAAAAGTGCTTTTCAGGACACCCAAGGACACTTTACGGTAAGAAACATATCAGAAAGATTGTGTACAAACAAACAACAAGCACAGTGCAAAGATCAACAGGAATAAATTGAAATATAAAATACATACAGAATATAAAATACCTAAAGAATCTAAAATACATACAGCAAAGTTAAGGATAAGCGAGTCTAATGTCACAGTAATGTCACATTTGCTGTACACAAAGCTGTTGGTTTTTCCCTAGACTTTACATTGATTATAAGAGAGGAAGATAATTACATAAAACCCTCTGCATGTCCTTATGGTTGTCAATGAGGTTAAATACTGAATTTAAATTTTCCATTACATTCAACCTTTATTTATACAGGTTAGTCTCATTGAGCCTCAAGGACTCATTTACAAGGGGGACTTGTTTTAAACATTGGTAGGACCAATATATCTGTAATTGATATATGGACCAATATATCGGTAGGACCAGTATATCAGTAGGACCAATATATCGGTAGGACCAATATATCGGTAGGACCAATATATCAGCAGGACCAATATATCAGTAGGACCGATATATCGGTAGGACCAATATATCGGTAGGACCAATATATCAGTAGGACCAATATATCGGTGGGACCAATATATCGGTGGGACCAATATATCAGTACGACCAGTATATCAGTAGGACCGATATATGAGTAGGACCAGTATATCAGTAGGACCAATATATCGGTGGGACCAATATATCAGTAGGACCAATATATCAGTAGGACCAATATATCAGTAGGACCAATATGTCAGTAGGACCAAGATATCAGTAGGACCAATATATCAGTAGGACCAATGTATCGGTAGGACCAATATATCAGTAGGACCAATATATCAGTAGGACCAATATATCGGTGGGACCAATATATCAGTAGGACCAATAGACCAATATATCGGTAGGACTGATATAGGCGTTTGGGGACATATAAGTATTATGATAACTGGCCCATTATGCGCCGATATAAATGCTTCTCATTTTCACCCCTAAAATGCTGGGAACAAGCCGTGTCCTCACTTGCAAATGGCGTGATTGTAAATGCATCCAGCAGAGGGCGCATGCGGACTACTTTCAAGTGAAGCCATGCTGCACATTTGACTCACAACACAGCTGAAGAAGGGAACAAGTACCCGTAAATACTGTGTAGTGTATTTTGCCGAAAAGAGCATGGTAAGTTTATTGTAACTGATCTGTAAAATAAATAAATAAATAAATAACAATAATACATTATTTTCCATCCTCTGACCTGCTTGTCATTAGCTAAGTGTCTCTCAAGTTAGCAAGCTAACGTTTAGATAACCTAGCATAGACTACTGCCTTGTAAAACTTTATCCAGAACAATAAATCTAACATAGAGGTAAAATATATCGGTGTTAGTAACGTTATCTTTGTCATTTTTAATGAAATGCATTGTTTGTCTGAAATCTTTACTTCTCTGCAGAAAAAAGAAAAAACCTGCTGCGGTCAATACTAATTAGACCTTCACCATACGTGACTGTTTAAATAATGAACAGGGAAGAGCGTTTCTTTGTTGTAACAAATTGGATAACTTTATGGTGAATAGTGGAGGATGTGAATGCATGTTAGGAAGACTGTTTGAATACTTCAAGTTTTAAAACGGGTTTAAAAGTAGCTGTTTAATTAGATTCATGGAGGTGGACGAAGTTCAGAAATTCTCGGCTGTCATATCGGTTAACAACATTAGCCTTCACCTCCCAATATCGGTATCAGCGATAGCCAAAATTCCTTACAGGTTGGGCTCTTCTCAGAATAGTCACATTTTCTGAACATGTTCAAAACACAGGCAACAAGATTGCAGGCCGGCAACTCAAGAAACCAAACTAAGAACAGAATAAACAAAATAGGTTTTGTGGGCTCAATCATCCTGGTAGATAACAACAAAAGAGGTTAAATCACTTCATCTGGACCACGTTGCCAAACGTGTGAGAGACTCCCTCACAAGCTCAGTGAGATTCTGGCTTTAAAGTTAAAAACCACGTCATTAACTGAAACATTTTAATCACTAAAAGGCATTTAGATTAAGAGATTATTTGTTAACTCCAGTTGGTGTTTGTTTGTATCTTGGGGGGCCGAGATGGGGTCGAGACAGGGCAGCCGACTCGGGACTCGAAAGTCCCAGGTTCGATCCCCAGTCATTGCACATCTCGTGGTGTCTCTGAGCAGGACACCCTATCCCCAATCGCACCCCGGGCACCCCCAATAGCTGCCCACTGCCCCACCTGGGGGTGGATGGGTTAAATGCAGAGAGCCAATTTCACCATTGTATGGGAACATACAATGATGAAACACATAACATTATTATTATTATTATTATTATCATTATTATTATTATTATCATTATTATTATTATTATCATCTTGGTCAGCATTTGAATGCTAACGAGAAGCAAAAAGTTGAATTTAAAAAATGTACACAACAAATAATGCAAACCATGCAGGTAATGGAACTGTCTTTCAAATGTAGGTAGTTTAAGAAATATATTGAAATATTTTACACATGACAGCCTAAATCCTTGAGAACCAAAAGAAAGATCAAAGTGATAACTGACAGCAGTGAGTTACAGCTTGGTGCTTCAAAAGTAACAGCATGCAAGCAGCTACGTTTCAACCGATTGTTTGTCTCAGCTTTCTGTCCCTGCACGAGTCTACACCGCATGTTGCAAAGGCACAAATGAGGAAGGCGCAGGCAGCGGGGGAGGAAGATGATGAGAAACGTACTTGCCATCCACAGCAGCAACAACCTTACAGCTGAGCTCCAGCTCATACAGAGTTCTTAGCATTCGATCACGGCGATCAGTTCTCCGAACCAGATTGATCATAAAAACCTGGGTGCACACAAATGCAAAAAACTTCACTCACGTGCTCAACGTACAGAATACACTTGTCTGTGAGGGAGGACAAGCGGGTATACCTCATCAAAGTCCATCTTGTTAGGCTGCTTGGGAGGAAGAGACAGGATGCTGGAGGGCTCCAATGGCGAATTATCCACTGTCCAAGAAAACAAGAAATGTAACTAGGTCTGTCGCAATAAACAATAAATCACTTAATCGCATGATAAATGAAAATTATCAACCTCATTTTCATTTATCGGCTTTATCGTTTCGTCATGTCTCTCTGTTTCTACTGAAGACACTGGATGACAAAAGGCTCAACTCCGGTGCTCTTCACTGACCCCGCCCTTTCTCTTTAAAATCAGTTTTAACCATCTAAAATCGTGTTTTTGGATCTTTAAAAGCAGCTAAGCTAAGAAGCTAAGCTACGAGCTAAACTAACAGGCTGACCTCGAGAAAAAAAACCTCTGTCTTGTCGACGCTCCAAAATTCACAGTTGAAACCCGTTCCTTCGTGGAAAACTTGTTTTTCTCTGCAAAAAGCAGCTGAGAACTTGTTTACTGATTTTTTTCATTAAAAGCTTTGTGTGAAAAATGCTATGCTGGAGAGCTCAAACCACACCGAGCGTCCACCATTTTGAGAAATGGGGGGGGGGGAAAAGGAAGGAGAGACAGCCCATGTCATGTCAAGGGGCCTCCCTCCCATTTTTCTTAGAGACACAATGCTCGCTCCGTCACTATTCATCCTTCAGTGCAAATAGTCTTATACTGCCATCCAGTGGTCAAAAAAGGTACTACATTCAAAATAAAATCAACCAACATTTATTCTTAAATTTGACAATAATTACTAATTACTGTCAAATTTTAAACGTTATCGTTTATCCCAATAATTTGAGACAATTAATCGCCCAGCAAAATATGTTATTGTGACAGGCCTAAATGTAATAAAAAGAATAGCTGATGTTCCCAAAATGTAGAACTACAGGGACTGCAGAGATTTCTTACTGCATAGCCAGGGAGATCACAAACGGTGAATCACAGCTAATAGGGCTGTAAAGACCAACAGATCTGAAACTGGAACTAAACTGAACGTTATAACATCACTGGTGTGAATAATGCCACATAAACTGTTTGAAAACCCGGTTCTTTATGGTACTTCATGGTTTACTTGGTTGAATAAGAATCTGCTGCATCCAGCAGACCTGCAGGGGGGTCAATATGAGATTTTCACATCAGCATTCCCATAAGCAGGAATACACACTATTTATTCAGTTCAACAGCTCGCAAACAACTATAGCAAAGTTAATTATTATTTCTAAATCTAGAAAATTAATTATTGAATCTTTTGGTCAGTTTTCTCTAAATACTACAACTAAAGATCACACACGTCTCAGTTCATCAGAGCATAATCCACAAGACTGCTCACATTAGGCCAGACAGTTTAGTATCAAACTTTTAGTTTCAATAAATATTTTCCATATACAACCAAACGGTGAACAGAAATCTCTCCAATCATCCAGAACTCCTGACTCACCCATGATCTCAAGGTGAGTATGCAAAAAGCTCTCTGCCTCATCCTGCAGTGTTGCATGGGAACGCATTGGCACTGGAAAATACCCATAGGTCTCTTTGTTGCACACATACATCTGCACATCTGAGAAGAGGAAAGGACAAACGCGTTTACATATTTAAGAAAATTTAAGAGCCAAACCAACATTTGCACTGCATTCTTCCCACCTGCCATGCGAGCAGAGTAAGCAAAGATGATGACATCATCCAGGGCCCAGCTGTACTCTGGGTGTGGCGGATAAAAAGCCAGCTCATGAGAAGCCTCTTTCCGTAGATCCACCAGGTAGGTAGAGTGGACCATCGGTACAGCGAAACAGCCCCGACGCTCCCGTCTGCGGATGGGCATGTAGGCCGGAGTACGCTTGTAATAACCCTGCAAATGGAGCACACAAACATTGTTTAGATGATTTTTGTTTATTTACAGTCAAGTTTCCTGAGATTTGACCTGATTTTTGTTGTCCAACTTTTGAATTTCGTATGATCCAAATGATTTTCATATAAACATTCGCCAGCGACTTTATATGGTCCACCTGCTCAATTGTTTGATAACACAAAGAGCTAATCAGCTGATCACAAGGCAGTAACTTAATGCAGCGAGAAATCTAGATGCAATGAAGACTTCTTGCTCAAGTTTAAACCAAGCATCGTGATTTGGGGGGGAAAATAGAAGAAACTCTGAATGTGGCACACATGTTGACGCTAGATGAACTGGTCTGAGCATTCCAAAAACTGCTGATCTACTGGGATTTTTATTATCTCCACACGACCAGCTCTAAGATTTAAAGAGAATGGTCCAAAAAGAGAAAACGCTTATTTCAAGTACTTGGGGTCAACTGTCCAAGAAAATGAGGAATGTGGTAAAGAAGTGAAACAGAGAGTCCAGGCAGGATGGAATGGATGGAGAAAAGTTTCAGGAGTGATTTGTGATAAAAGAGTGGCAGCAAAGGTCAAAGGAAAAGTTTACAAGACAGTGGTGAGACCAGCTATGTTCTATGGTCTGGAGACAGAGACATGGACAAAAAGACAGGAGAAAGAACTGGAAGTAGCAGAAATGAAGATGTTGAGGTTCTCCTTAGGAGAGACAAGGATGGATAAGATTAGGAATGAGATCATCAGAGGTACAGCACAGGTTGAACAACTGGGAGATAAAGTTAGAGAGGCCAGACTGAGATGGTTTGGACATGTCCAGAGGAGGGACAGTGGGTATATTGGTAGAAGGATGTTAGAAATGCAGCTGCCAGGAAAAAGACAAAGAGGAGAAATATGGATGCAGTTAGAGAGGTAGTTGGAGTGAGGACAGAAGACAGAGTGAGGTGGAGGAGGATGACTCGATGTGACGACCACTGAAGAGGGAAAAGCTGAAATAAGAAAGAGATCCAAAAAGAGAAAATATCCAATGAGTGGAAGGTGTGTGGCCAAAAGTGCCTTGATATCAGAGGAGGATCGGCAGACTACTTTAAAATGAAAGAAAGGCAGCAGTAGCTCAGACATCCAAGGTCTGCAGGTTACCATCTCTGAACACACAACACATCGAACCATGAAGCAGACTGGCTACAGCAGCAGACGACCAGAACAGGAAACTAAGGCTACATTTATCACAAGCTCACCAAAATGGGGCAATAAGAGATTGGGAAAAACATCAACCGATTTACCACTGGACTCCAATGGCCTTCACAGTCACCAGACCTCAATCTTCTTGTAGAACACGGATTAGCATCATGAATGTGCAGCTGCAACAACCGAGTGACGCTACGACGTCATTATGGACCAAAATCTTTGAGGAAAGTTTCCAACACCTTGTCCTGATGATGCATGCTCAATAATTCAGGTAGCTGAATCTAACAAGGTTAAGTCAGGTCCTCTGGACAAATTCAGAGGACCTGACTTTACCTTTTTAGTTCCAACCCCTTGTTGAATCTGTGGAAGACGAGGCAATTCTGAAGATAAAAGTGGTCCAAACTGCTACTTGCAAGGTGTACCTAATAAAGTGGACGGTGAGAATATATTTACACTATTCATTCATTCATAATTAATCAATCTACTCCACGTAAGAGATCCTACAGACATGCAGACAATAGCTGAAGAGCTTCAATTTTAGAACGCAAACTAACTCTAGTGCAACATGTGTCAATAAAATATTACAGAGCGCATGTCTTTAAAAAATATTCCCTGACTGAATATTTCTCCATTGGCTTCCTGTCAAATTCAGAATTGAATTCAAAATTTTTCTTCTAACCTACAAAGCCCTCAACAACCTAGCTCCATCTTATATTAGAAATCTTGTTGTACTATACTTTCCTATTTTCCTAAGACTGCAGGCTTACTTGCGGCTCCTAGAGTTTCCAAAAGCAGAATGGGAGGAAGATCTTTCAGTTATCAGGCTCCTCTCTTGTGGAACCAACTTCCAGTTTCTGTCTGAGGCTGACACTTTGTCCAGTTTTAAGACTGGGCTTAAGCAGTTCTTTTTTGATAAATCGTATAGTTAGGGTTAGCTTACGATGCTATATAGGCTTAGACTACTAGAGGAAAAATTGACCTAATTTCCTTAAAGGAATTGTTACAATTGAATAGTTTTCATTTTATACTATTTCTATCATGTGATTCTCGACCTGCCATTGTGTATCTGTTCCTCCTTCCTGTCCTCTCAGACCCAGCCGATCGAAGCAGATGACCGCTTGTCCTGAGCGTGGTTCTGCTGGAGGTTTCTTCCTCATGAGGAAGTTTTTCCTTTCCACTGTCGCCTTCATGCTTGCTCAAGATGAGAGTCTGTGATGGAGTTAAATTCAAAGCAGTCTGCTCCTCAGATAAATAATGTTGTTAACTTACTTTGTATTTGAATGTTTCTGTTCAGCGCCCTGAGACGACTTCTGGTGTGACTTGGTGCTATATAAATAAACTGAATTGAATTGAATTGGTTAACGATTCTGGTCTGAAAAGAAGCAAAAAGTGAAAACTTGAAGGCACCTTCCTTGGATACACCTCAAGGAAAGCTTTTGAGATGCATCAAATAAGTACGTTTTGAGGAATAAAATCATTTGCCAGTGTTTCAATATCCCAACAACCCATACAGTAACATTTTGTAAAAAAAAAAAAAAAAAAATTCAATGAGCTCCAATAAATTCAATGTTTAGCTAAACTGAATAAGTAGAGCAGATTAGCATAACGTAAGCCAAATTTAGCATAAAGATTGTGTAGGCTATCGGAAAAACAGCTAAACTAATTTCTCATAATATTAAGCTTTAAAAGGCGACATCACATCAAACCAACAATCGTTCAGTCCACCTGTGAGACAAAACAAAGCATTTATTTTAATTACAAACCAATTTTGTAGCCTGCAGAGCACCCGCAGAGTAATCAGAAAAAAACAGAACACAGAGGACCAAAATAACAAAGCCTCTCTCCCAACACCTTCAAACTGATTCATTTACTCTTTTCCAGTGACCTACTCACAAAACGAAATTTCCTCATGAATAACAAAAAATTACTCAGAGCAAAATTGCCTCCAGGATATTTTTCTTTGTTACGAAAACAGTGAGAAATTTATTCAAGAGAACAGCATGCAAATTGACATTTTACTTTCCATCAGCGGGCCGCCCACTAAATACTGGTTTGCATTATTTATTCAGGCTGAAAAAAAAAAAACTTTATAGAAGCTTGATGGTTGATAAAAGTATTTGCAGCTTTACGAATCTTAAATCTACAGAATACTTTCATGATTCTTAATGACTAATAGTTGCAAAAGGCTGATCTGCAATTCAATACAAAGAATAAAATCAAGAATAAGGATTACATAAATAATGTCAATATTTCTAAAGAATAAATACACACTGAAACGTATAAAACTTATTAGAGATGCATTTAAAACTAATTCAAAATGTGGCATCAGAATTAGGGATGCACGATATTGGATGTTTGGCCGATATCCGATACGCCGATATGTTAAAACTTATTTGGCCGATAATCGATACCAATACCGATTTATTTATTTTTTTCCCCCCTAGACTTACAGAGACTACTTAACTTTCTCTGCTGCGGAATTAAAATACATTATTCCGCACGGTCTTTGTCAATTTGGCCTGCTACCAAATGCAGATGCCAAAAAGGGGTCTGAAAATGATGCAACACTTCAACTTATGTTCAATGTCCAATTTATTCATGATATTTACTCTAACACAATGACAACATTGAAACGGTGCATATTTGTAAATTTTCACAAATCTAAACCCAAACTGTTCACAAGCGACAAGTGAAAAGCGCATAAGTAGTGCAATAACAGATATACTTGACAATTTATTAAATTAAAAATTAACTTAAAACAGAAGCCTTTTATATCGGTGAGTTTTTTTTGATAGAACGGCCGATGTCTGATATTTAACTTTATCGCTAATATCGGCCGATACCGATACCATGCCGATAATCTCGTGTATCCCTAATCAGAATTGTAAAAACCTGATTTTTATGTCAGGGATTTAGCATCCAAACTTTCTAAAAACCAATCTGGATACAATCAGAGTGCATCAGAAACAGAATCTGGACTGTCAATCTAAATAAGGTGCACAAGATTTAAAAAAAAAAAAACACAAAATGGAACATCTGCTGTGGTGTGTTTGTTCTCCTGGCTCATCTACCACCACAATCTCCTCCTACTCCTGTAAAGATCTTAAAGCACAAGAAACTCTGATATAAATCTCATCTGCCATCTGGAGTATCTTTGCAGCCTGCTGGCTCTTTTTACGTTGCTCTGAAGAGACAAAACTATAACAGGACACTGCTGGAAACTTGTACGTTAGGGTCGCAATGCAAAGACAAAAGGGTAAAAAAAAAAGCATATTTTTAATTTTATTTTAAGTCTATGTCTAAAAGGGAAGCCCAAAATATGAATTATATCCTTCCTATTGCAAAGAACTGCATGGACTGCAATAAATCACAGGCAAGTAAAGTCCATAAGCCACGCATTCTGCACATTCTGCACGCTGTTAATATATTGTGGCCATTTAAAACAGACTTTCACTGCTCTAAATGCCCACATCTGGTTTAGGTGATAGTCATCAAGACCCTAAAGCATACAGATGTTGTGAGCATTGGCACGACTAACCAAAAAAGAGGAATGAGAAAAATATGGGTTCACTGCACATCTTTCAAGAACAACATCAAAAATTTTATGTATTTTTATATCCTGCAGCTCAAATGTGCGGCATTCAAAAGAATGTTCTCTTTGAAATACTAAAAAACAAAAACATTGTTTTAGATGTAAAAAAGTCATTGAAAGTATAAGTATACTGTTTTTCCCCTCCTTCTTTTGGGTGCTCCCTTCTTCAGGGGTCGCAACAGCAAAATAAGTTACATGAAGACTTGTTTTTACGCCGGATGCCCTTCCTGGCACAACCACAGACCACCGAGCTACCACAGCCCTCTGTGTGGAGCAGAGAGCTGCTATCTAATGCGCCCGGGAGAGCAGATGGTGGAGGTTAAGGGTCTTGCTCAAGGGCCCAGAGTGGGGCAAATGAGGGTGGAGGCAGGTGTGGGCGTTTCAACTTTCCCACCCACATTTTGATGTCGGTACCGAAAGTTGAACTGATGATCTTCCGATCACAGGCCCACCTTCTCTAACCTCTACGCCAAGAGGTGAATATGTATAAATATATACACTACATTGCTAAAAGTATTTGCTCACCTGCCTTGACTCAAATATGAGCTTAAGTGACATCCCATTCCTAATCCATAGGGTTCAATATGATGTTGGTCCACCCTTTGCAGCTAGAACAGCTTCAACTCTTCTGGGAAGGCTGTCCACAGGTTTAAGAGTGTGTTTATGGGGATTTTTGAACATTCTTCCAGAAGTGCATTTGTGAGGTCACATACTGATGTTGGACGAGAAGGCCTGGCTCTCAGTCTCCGCTCTAATTCATCCCAAAGACGTTCTATCAGGTTGAGGTCAGGACTCTGTGCTGGCCAGTCAAGTTCATCCACACCAGACTCTGCCATCCATGTCTTTATGGACTTTGCTTTGTGCACTGGTGCACAGTCATGTTGGAAGAGGAAGGGGCCAGCTCCAAACTGTTCCCACAAAGTTGAGAGCATGGAATTGTCCAAAATGTCTTGGTATGCTGAAACAGTCAGAGTTCCTTTCACTGGAACTAAGGGGCCAAGCCTAGCTCCTGAAAAACAACCCCACACCTTAATCCCCCCTCAACCAAACTTTACACTTGGCACAATGCAGTCAGACAAGTACCGTTCTCCTGGCAACTTCCAAACCCAGACTCGTCCATCAGATTGCCAGATGGAGACACGCGATTCGTCACTCCAGAGAAAGTGCCTCCACTGCTCTAGAGTCCAGTGGTGGTGTGCTTTACACCACAGCATCCAACGCTTTGCATTGCACTTGGTGATGTTTGGCTTGGATGCAGCTGCTCGACCATGAAAACCCATTCCATGAGTCTCTCTGCATACTGTTCTTGAGCTAATCTGAAGGCCACATGAAGTTTGGAGGTCTGTAGAGATCGACTCTGCAGAAAGTTGGCGACCTCTCCGCACTGCTTAAGCATCCGCTGACCCCGCTCCGTCAGTTTACGTGAACTACCACTTTGTGGCTGAGTTGCTGTCATTCCCACACACTTCCATTTTCTTATAACACAGCTGAAAGTTGACTGTGGAATGTTTAGGAGCAAGGAAATTTCACAACTGGATTTGTTGCATAGGTGGCATCCTATCAGTTCCACGCTGGAATTCACTGAGCTCCCGAGAGCGACCCATTCTTTCACAAATGTTTGTAAAAACAGTCTGCATGCCTAGGTGCTTCATTTTATACACCTGTGGCCTTGGAAGTGATTGGAACACCTGATTCCGATAATTTGGATGGGTGAGCAAATACTTTTGGCAATGAAGTATATATATATATATATATACATACACATTTGCCATCTGTTACCAGAAGATCCAAACTCACAATAATGAAGAAAAAAATAAACTGTGGAAACTGTTTCATGAGCTCTACAACATTTCTTTACATGTGATGAAAGAGATGTGAATGATTTTTGAAAGGAGAAAAATGAAGACCAGCTTAAAAGAAATCTCCAGTACCTGTGAAGTCATCCCGCACCAGAAGTTGGAGTACGCAGCTCTGGACTCCAACATAGGAGCTACGATGGTCTTGTTCTCCCTCATCAGCTTCCACAGCACATCCTGACTGGTGAGCAGATTGTCACAGTCGACCATCTGGAGACGGAGAAGAAGACGTAAATATTGACGGTTATATGTAAGCATATACATGCAGGCACAAACAAGATGTCACCTGGTGTCATTAGACGGCTGATGGGCTCACCAAAACATGTTCTAATTAAAGCGCACACAGACGCTCCACAGAGACCCTGATCTTGTAGTTATTTTAAACAAGCCTCCCACACTGCACTTCCTTTAGCTGCACGCTATATAAACTGTTTATAAAGTCCACTGCAAAATTAAGGAGCAAAAAAAATTAAATTTAAAAAGACACAATGAGGACTGAGACCAAAAATAGAGGAAAGGTCCACCCAGCGGTGTGCCAAACATCTGCTAAGAACATTTTAGCCTCTTCAGTAAAATATAACATTCTTTCAGCTAAACTTCTCCACTGTGTTATGAATCAGTGCTTTTCACAAATTGTGAATAAAAACTGAATGCAATGATGTGGAGGTGCCAACATCTAATATTTTATTCAGAATAGAACACAAATCACAGATCAAAAGTTTAAACTGAGAGAATGTAGCATTTTAAGGGAAAAATCTGTTGTTTCCAAATTTCATGGCGTCAACAAATCCCAAAAAAGTTGGGACAAGTCCATTTTTACCACTGTGTGGCATCCCCCCTTCTTCTTACAACACTCAACAGACGTCTGGGGACAGAGGAGACCAGTTTCTCAAGTTTAGAAATAGGAATGCTCTCCCAGTCATGTCTAATACAGGCCTCTAACTGTTCAATCGTCTTGGGCCTTCTTTGTCGCACCTTCCTCTTTATGATGTGCCAAATGTTCTCTATTGGTGAAAGATCTGGACTGCAGGCTGGCCATTTCAGTACCCGGATCCTTCTCCTACGTAGCCATGATGTTGTGATTGTTGCAGAATGTGGTCTGGCATTATCGTGTTGAAAAATGCATGGTCTTCCCTGAAAGAGATGACGTCTAGATGGGAGCACATGTTGTTCTAGAACCTGAACATAGTTCTCTGCATTAATGGTGCCTTTCCAGACATGCAAGCTGCCCATGCCACAAGCGCTCATGCAACCCCATACCATCAGTGATGCAGGCTTCTGAACGGAGCGTTGATAACAACTTGGGCTATCCTTGTCCTCTCTGGTCCGGATGACATGGCGTCCCAGTGTTCCATAAAGAACTTCAAATCTTGACTCATCTGACCACAGAACAGTCTTCCATTTTGCCACACTCCATTTTAGATGACCCCTGACCCAGTGCAAACATCTGAGCTTGTGGAGCTTGCTTAGAAATGGCTTCCTCTTTGCACTGTAGAGTTTCAGCTGGCAACGGCAGATGGCACGGTGGATTGTGTTCACTGACAATGCTTTCTGGAAGTATTCCTGAGCCCATTCTGTTATTTCCTTGACAGTGGCATTCCTGTTTGAGGTGCAGTGACGTTTAAGGGCCAGGAGATCACGAGCATCCAGTAGAGTTTTACGGCCTTGACCCTTACGCACAGCGATTGTTCCAGATTCTCTGAATCTTTTGATGATGTTATGCACGGTTGATGATGATAACTTAAAAGTCTTTGCTATTTTATGCTGGGTAACACCATTCTGGTATTGCTGCACTATCTTTCTGCGCAACAATGGTGGAATTGGTGGTCCTCTTACCAGCTTGGCTTCTGAGAGACACTGACACTCTGAGAAGCTCTTTTTATACCCAATCATGTTGTCAATTGACCTAATTAGTGTCAATTGGTCTTCCAGCTGGGCAACTGGTAGAGCTGCTGCCTCTCAGCGAGCAGGTCCTTGGTTCAAACCCCGGTCCAGGAGCCTTTCTGGGTGGAGTTTGCATGTTCTCTCCGTGCATGCGTGGGTTTTCTCCGGGTGCTCCGGTTTCCTCCCACAGACCAAAAACATGCATGTTAGGCTGACTGGTAACTCTAAATTTTCCCTAGGTGTGAGTGAGAGAGTGAATGGTTGTTTGTCTCGTTTGTCTCTATGTGGCCCTGTGATGGACTTGCGACCTGTCCAGGGTGTACCCCGCCCCTCGCACAGTGCTGGACATGGGCGCTCGACCAGCGACCCCCGTGACCCAAAATGGAATAAGTGGGTAAAGAAAATGGATGGATGGATCGATGGAAAAGTTGTTTAGTTTCCACAATTCCATTCAAAAAGTTAATCTTTAATAGATGATAGATTCAGGCCCCTCAATTTAAACTATTTCAAGTATTTATTTATTTAGTTTTACATAATTTGGGCTTCCAGCTCATGAAACCGACGAAAACAGGATTTCAAAATTTAGAATACAGTGGAGAAATCAGCCCAAACGTTGTAGGGCATGGATGTTTTAAACTGAGTGTGACACACTAATCATCTCCTAAACTCAAAGCACCTGCACAGGTTTCCCCAGGTGTCATTAAATTGCTTCAGTTTGGTTCATTTGTCTCAGTTCGGTTCAATATGGGGAAGACTGCAGACATAACTGGCCAGAAGACCATCATTGATACCCTCCATAGGATGGGTAAGCCACAAAAGTTCATAGCTAAGGAGGCTGGCTGTTCACAGAGTGCTGTGTCCAAGCATATCAATGGAAAGTCTAGTGTAAGGGCAAAATGTGGCAGGAGAAGGTGCACCAGCAAAAGAGATGACCGAATAATTCAGAGCTCGACAAGACAAAGGTTTATTCCTGAAGTCGACCTGTTAGCTTAGCTCGTAGCTTAGTTTCTCAGCTTAGCTGCTTTCAAAAATGTGATTTTTGATGGTTAAAACAGATTTTAAAGAGAAAAGAGAAAATGAGGGGTCAGTGAAGAGCACCGGAGTTAAGCTGTGCCTCAAGTAGAAAGAGACAGACAAAAAGAAACGATAAAGCTGGTAAATTAATTGATTAATGATTAATTAATTTATTTATTTTTTAACGCAACAGACCTATTTACATTAAAATTCAAGCATTCACAATGATTTCAAGCTCCCGTTCAAACCCCATTAGCAATTAAGAGAACAGATTTGAGCTCATTTCCCTTCACAGGTAAGAACCACACATAATGGGAGCCATGACGGGTTGTTCACATACCAGGAGGTAGTCGGCCCAGATCTCACGGGCGGTGTCCAGCGCTGCCTGTCGGAGCTTCATCACGCGTTCATAACGGAGATTATTCCAGTGCTTTGGCCCCACCTCATCCTCAAAAGCCCTGAGACCGGCCAAGACAAGCCTATTAAGCATCCATCTCATTTCATTGATACAAACGTGAAAACAAACACCTACACAGTACCTGGACTCTTCTTCAGGCCGCCACTCCACATAATGATAGAAGTTCTGCACCTTGATGAGCCAGTCTCTCAGAATGGTTGTGGTATTATCGATGTTGTGATCTGTCGCCACCCTGTGGGAACATAAAAGACAAGACAAACAATAAACAACAAGCATTGCATCTTTGAAATATTAATTTCAGTGACTGACGTTTCATTTTATATTAAAGATTAAATCTCCACTGGCTGAGTGGAGGTGGATACCACAACAGAAATATTTTTGTGATCCGCGTGATACATTTCTTGAATCTGTCTTTAACAGGATGAGACTGATTCTTATGGAAGATGCTTCATGTTTGGTTGTAATTTACAGGCGCAGCTCAACAATTTTTTATTTATTTGATGAAGCTGTAGTGGAAGTCTTTGTCCTAATAAGAAACACAACTTAAGAAGGAACTCAGCTGGATATCGAGAAACTGAAACCGCCAAACTTTAGAAAATACTTTCATCTGTGGGAAACTGTCATATCTAGGATGAGGCATGAGACTACGGGTGGGATCAGACGAGAAACTGCTGAGTCATGGTATCCCATAACCAAACAAGGTTTAATTGTTTCCATCCCTCCTCATGCACATATAATCTTTTTTTTTTAAATGGTCCAAACCCACTTCAAGTGAGTGAATCAAACCTTTTCACAGCTTTCGTCGAAGCTCTGTTTCTGCGGTTTCTGTGCATATTTTCTCAACGCAAATCAAAAGCAGCAATCGAAACTCCATTACTGATCATTTCAAAAGGCATCTTGGTGCTTTCAGTTGCTTAAATGAAAGTATTCATCTGCTAACCTCTAACAGATATGAGTTTATTTGATTAAGTTTATTATCAGACTTCTTGTTTCAGTTCACTCTTGTTTTAAACTCGTTTTCTTCCAGTTGTAGATGAACAGATGCTGGGATATATTCATCATTTAACGCGAGTTCCTCATTTTTCTGGACTGAATAAAACGTGCACTGAATTTAAGGAAATGCAAAGTGAGACGTCATTTAAATTTGACCCATCAAAATGAATGCGGTCATTTATTTACAGAATCAAATTTAACATCAAACATTTACATTAATTTGGCAAATTATGAAAATAACAATATAAGCAATCAATCAGGAAAAATCATACGGCCATGATTTTTCCGTTGCTGCACCACAGACATGTATAAAACTGTACAACTATGATCTTTTACCCACACGGATGTGAATAAGCACTTTACACAGACATTTCTAAATATCTGGGAGAATTTCTACTTCATAGGAAAGTTTAAAGATGGAAAGAAGTTTAGGGGGAGTAAAGGATGGGGTTTGAGGGAAATTGAATGGTCACCAGAACCGACACTCTCCATCAGAAGCCCAGCTCGCCTCGGTACGCTTGGTAGGAAACTTGACCCATTACCTCTCTGATGATAATCAGCAGATATGGTGTTCCGTTAACGCTACCGGTCCAGCGTCTCCTTAGAATGGCTGTTGCCCGTCAGAAGTAGTGGCGAGGCTCTGTTCGACACACATTCACCTCAGTGGAAAATGTTATAATCCCATGGAACTCGGAAGAGCTTTGTTGTCATGTCAGGAACTCCAACAGCACTCCATCAGAACTCAGCAGAACTTGAGTAGACTCTCACCGAACTCTACGCTTTCAGACTCTTAGAACTCCGACAACTCTCTGAGTCTGTAACTCCGTGAGACTGTGTAGACCAGGAAGTACTGACATTTTAAAGACTCTTTCCCGGTTCACTTTTTGGGATTTTTCATTGGTCAGAAACGACCAGAAGGGGTGTGTTTTTGTGACGTAATAGGTTAGAGACAGCGAGAATTGTTATGAGACAGGTCAGAAATGTTCTCACAGACCGAGAGGGTTCTGTTTTGGCGTGTCTAAGAAACAGGTGCAAAACATCTCTATTTACGTCTGAGAGGATTCTAAAACATGACAGTTTTAACATAACAACTTGTTTTTCGTTTGACTGTAACCTTGTAAACGCACACACTTGCTCATTCAAAAGCAGAAATCAGAAAATGCATAAACTCTGCACAGCTTTTAACATGAGAATAAAAATCATTACTCAGTTAATAAAATTGATTAGTTCACTGCAACATCTAAAATGGTTTGAACTAAGACACTTTGATTATCAACATTTGTAAGATAGTAATGATAATAAAAAGAGAGTGTTCTTTTCACTTGAATCTTCAAGAAAGAAAGTCTCAGGATGGGTGAACCTGTATCTATGTATTCAAATACATGAAATGACAGCTTCTGTCCCACAAGGTTCTAAAGG